TAGATAGTTGTTGGAATTTTTATTCTATTTTTTTAGAATTTTACAACTAATAGCTAGTAAACAACAACTTTACCAAACACTCATACTTCTAACAGCTACACATACAGCTAAAAGCTACTACCACATCTAATAACTACCTCTATACCTATATTTTGCCACACCCTTAAAATGGGGGGGTTTTGAATATTGTTAGAAATATATTTTAATGCGCCATTAGACTAAATTAAGGGTAATAGTACAACTTAAAAAAAAAAAAAAAAATCAATTATAGTGTGTTGCAAATATTAATACATGGAGGAAATGTTGCAACTTTTGAATGGTGATTAGTGATGGTGGTGAATTGAGTGGTTTGAATGGTGGTGGTGGCTTTTTTAGAAGTGGTGGTGCTTTGGGTGGTTCGAATGGTGTTGTTTTGGGGCGGTGGTGAATGATTAGGTAATTTTAGATTAAAGAGGTGGTGGTGTTTAGTTGGTGTCTTTAGATTTAGGTGGTGGTGCTTTATATTTGGGTGATGGTGGTGGTTGGTTAGTGTGTGGAGTGGGTGGTAGTCGCCGGTGTGGTGTTGCGAATCTTGTGATGGTGGCAAACTGATGGAAGATAATGGAGGGGGTGGTGATAGGAAGCATTAACCAAACTTCGATTTTTTAAATCACATGCCTTCCCTCAATTTATACTATATTACATTGCATTGGAATTTGTGCACACAAAAAGTGTCGCAACTAAGAAAAACAGAGAATATATAGTAATAAAACAAGAAATTACTATTATTAAAAACGAGAAGAATAATAATAAAAAGCATTTTAGCTATTTTAGTAAAAAAAAGTTGGAATCTTTACCCCAAGAAAAGAACATAAGATTGGACCAGATCGTTGTGGCTCCACATAACATTTTCGCTCCGGAAGCACTGTATGACATCAAAAGCCCTTTTACCACTTAACATCATGTCATCTACTCCATATACGAATTCAATTAAAATCTTAGTTCAATTGTCATCAAAACTACATACCTTTAGCCTCTGAGGTAAGCTTGGGCAGCAAACTTCACCAATCGAATCAGGATATCATGTTCACAAACAGATTAAGTGATATATTAAAATGTAAATTACAAGGAGATGCTTCTATTAGAATTTTTATAATATAATAAAATTTAATAAAAACTACAAGGAGATGCTTCAATAAATAAATATATATAATGAGAGCCAAGGCTAAAGAGAACTATGAAGTAATCTAGGCCCTTAGACCATGTTAATCGGACAGCCAAAAGATTCCCGTGTCATGAATGACATTTTCATAATATTTCAACTTCACAAAATAATTTTCAGCTTTTTTTCTAAAAAGTAAATGAAAAATTAGTAAAAGTAAATAAAATCAGTCATAAAGTAAATGAAATTGCCTTTAAAAAAATGGAAAAAACTTTGAAAAACTGCAAAATTACGAAAATGCCATTAATGAGGGCGGTTGAAACGTGAGCCATTAGATAGAGCGCGATCAATGACTGAGATTGGTTCTTAGTTTTCATTATTCACCTTCTCACATGATTTCAATTATATATATATATATATATATATATATATATATATATATATATATATATATATATATATATATGCAATTCTCAAGTAACTACAGATGAAAGCACCCAAATCTCAAATTACCCATTCATACAAAAGCTCTCAAGAATTAACTGCACTGCAATTATTCGACAATGTTCTTTTCATTTTACATCTCTAATGAAATTGCTTGTCAACTCAAGGATTTCATCATACCATAACCTACCCAAATTATTGGGCATAATTTCAGAAGTACTTCTCAATTCCTATGCTAGCATTTTAGTTAACAGGGGAGGATGCAAATTGTATGACTACACACACTTTGTCATGTATCTTTCAATGACAAGATATTCATGTGACCATTTTTGCCAAAATTAAAGGGTTACAATAGCACAAACAAACAACTCAGTCAACCAAATAGGAGTAAAAAACAGACTGCTCAACCAAATGTTAGTGCACATGTAATATAGCATCAAACTCTCTTTACCACTGTCCGTTGGCACCACCGGGCTTCAAGCCAAGTCCCGCATAAGTAAGCTCAGATGTAATGTGGAATGACAGCTCATACATCGGTACACTCTTGAAAAGAGATGGAAAATAAATGTCAATAAAAAAACAATGCAAAGGGAAAAAGGGAGAAAAACAAAACAGAAATAAAGGTAAGAGACGTTGAAGTTCCTATCTCATTACTCCAAACATATTAGAAGAGCTTTTATCACAAAGTTTAGGTTTCTGAAAGCACTAACACTAGTCTCTAGTACTCACAACCACTTCCAAGTGACTAGATTATATTGTAGATAACTCCAATTGTCATTCAATTTCTTCTTCATCTTTAAGAGTTCCTCTTTTATTTTTAGAAATGGGTTGCTGCAATGGCTTCCACGTTACAGGTAGACATTTGATACTTATCTACGTTAAAGTATTATCCATGTCATTATCCATGTGGCACCTAGTCATAAATCTCATTATGACATAAGAGTGACATGTCGTCAACATCTTTTCCTTTTGAGATTTAAGAATATTGTAGATTTTTCATATAAAATCTTCAATTAAAAGCAAAATTATAAAATGAGGGTGTATCATTTAAGAAGATTTGGTCATGTAAGATGAAGACCAAGTACCGCATCAATAAGGAGGCTTGAAGAGTGGCAAATAGAGAAGGTGAGAGATAGAATACGAAAGCAAGCTTGGATGAGGGTGGTTGAAAGCGATAAATGTCAAAGAAGAATGGAGAAAGGATCTATGTATATGACTCATGCAATAATGTCTATATGACCCTAATATATACTCCCTCCGTTTTTAAATACTTGTTCCACTTTCCATTTCCGGCCGTTTTTAAATACTTGCTTCATTTCCTTATTTGGAAAGCTTTAATTCATTTCACTCAACTAGTAGACCAACATAAATCATATTTTATTAATTTCATATTTTCTCTCCTCTAATTTTCTGAACTACTTTTGTTTTTTTACAATTTTTTATTTTTCCACCTATCTCACTACCTCCATATTTTACTACTTTATCCAATTTCTCTTAAAACTCTGCGCATGGAAAAATGGAACAAATATTGTTGTTGTTGTAACATCTTTGATAAAATACTAAATTTGCTATGTTACTCGGACTTGGCTAAAAGGCCGCCAAACCTATGCTGACACAAATCACACAACAAGACGCGGATTTGGACACCCACAAAATTCGTGTGTTGGATTCGGTAAGAACCCTAAACCTACAAAATTCTACGCCATAGTTATGAAAAAAGAAAGGGATGCTTTACCATTTCTTGTTTTTCTCTCACTTACTACACTCTCTTTTTATTCACGTGACTTTTAAAAACATAAAAATTTCCTTTGATGTCTATTAGGCTAGTAGTGTGGTTGACAGCTTGTATTTTTTTTCCTTTTTTTTTAATGAGTTGGCCACAATTTCCTTTTCAATTTTCATTTTTCTTTTCCTTTGGCCACATGATAATCTAATCGATTTTCTCACCTCTTTTAATTCTTTTTTTCACACAAATTTACAGTATTTGTTGGCTCTGTTTCTAGTCAAGTAGGCTTTTACATTGGTTTTTATAACTACTTGGCTTTAGCACCTACTTAACAATTTTAATAATAGCAAGGGTTTTGTGCTAAATATTTAGCTTGGATTTAAATGTAATTAAAAAAAACCCTATTTACCGCTATCGTATTTCACTAAACATTTTATCATAGGCCAAAAAATTATACTTCCTCTGTTTTGTATTTTTTTTTTTTTTATACTTTGACAAAAAAAATTTGAGAGCTTTTTAATCATGTGCCACAACTAAAAAAATCGGAGAATGTATGAAACCTCAAGTCACCGCTCTGAAAATTTTCCCGAATTACATATCTTAATCAAACTTTCTTCCCTAATCATATGTTCATCTCTTCTTATCTATACTAGTTCCTAACGTGCTAGTATGTCATACAATAAGGAGGCATATACTAATGGTGGCAACTTAGATGATTGTTAGTGGCATATTAATCATGGTGATTCCTCATATGACTATGATTAGGCATATACATTACTACTTCCTCCATTTTTTTTTAGGGAAAATGTTCGGAAACTACCATCTTGATTGGTTATTTTGTCAACAACTACTCGCTTAAAAATTTTATAAAAAAACCTACGGCTTAAATTTAAAAAGTTTGAGTAGCACTTCCTTTTTGTTTTCCGACAACAAAATCCACGGAGTCGGACCAACTCGCCGGATTTTGTTGAATAATTACAAAATTAGGGTTCTTTGTTGAAATAGAAATTGGGGGTTTTGGAAAATTGAGGAAAACTTGTGGTTTTTCATTGTAATTGGCCAATTTAGGGTTATGAATACAATGTTTTTGACTTCTAATTTGTGGAAAAATTGGGGGTTTTGCAAATTTGGGGTAAACTTTGTCATTCCGTCCTTAAGTATTAGAGGGAAGAATAAAAGAAAACCAAAAGGGGTAGTGTCACTCAAACTTTTTAAATAGTTGTTGACAAATTGACCTATTAGACTCACAAATTTTCCTTTTTTTTATTTTAGTTTTATTTTTATTTTTTGCAACAAATGACATTTTCAAGATTTACAATTATTTGCAACAAATGTTTGATTTCCTCATATGTTAAGATTAGGCCTATGAGAAACCTGCTATACCCCTACCTTTAAACGTAAACATAGGTTAGTGGTAATAGTCTAACTTACTAAAAAACCAAACTAAATCTGACCTACTAAGATCTAAGTAATTACTAACACCAACAACCACCACCAAATTATTCTACCAACAGCCACCACCCTCCCCAACCTGACCAGCAAACCCTTACGCTTACCATTACCTATGCTGCCACCCCCTTCTCCACTCCCATCACCCCACCAGCAAACCATCACCCTTGCTGCCATCAATCACCATTGCAACCACTAAAACCCGCAGAAACTACCACTGCCAAAAACCACACAGACCACTGAAAACCACCTCAAAACAATTTAACATCGAGTAGCATAATAGCAAATGGTTGGAGGAGGATTTAAACCAAAAAAAAAAAACAGATATAAAGAAGATAAATACGAAATACTGAGAAGGTTTTCCTCAGCCGTTGAGTGATAATAGCGCTCAAGGACACCTCTAGTCATCGACATAGTTTTGACCACATGCCATGCTATCGTCAAATTCTTTACCACCCTTTCCATTATGATCTTATCGCAAGTGAAACCACATATCTCATGCAGGTATGATGCATTTCTTAACCCCCGAGATATGTGTTGCCCAACTGGGGTAGTCTCTAGGCCCCCCTCAGCAGACGAGACCATGAGCTTATCCCAAGCAACCAACAATAATACAGCATATGTTTGGGCAGAACCATGATTCATCAAAGCAATGCAAAGATCCTCGACTTTATGACTATGTGACGCCAGCAGTCTGATAGTATCAAGGGGTTCTTTCTGCCAAGCATAGGACTAAGTCAAAGCAGGAACTTTATTTTCAAGAGTGGTAAGTTAAAGACTGGAAAGAACAATAAAAGTTGATGATCACCAATTCTGGCAAGCAGAAAAAGTAGAAAAGCTTGAGGATGGAATTTTCAGCAGTGCAACCTTGTTCAAAATATTTAAGCTTACTGTGACATTGAAAACACAAACCCAAGAGTAAATCTCCTAAAAGTCAACTAAAGAAACCATGAAACAGGAAGGTTTGGGAACGAGGCACGCACTTGAATGCACTGAGCGCAGTACTAAGTGGGGTTCCGAAACCATTAGCATCAAGCTTAAGCTGAGTATCAGCTCCATGATCTAAAAGAACCTTAGTCATGCCATAAGATAAGTTATGAGCCGCCATGTGCAACGGGGACATTACCGTATCATAAACCGAATTTATATCCACATCGAGTCCAGATTCAAGCAATGCAGTAGCACAAGCAACAGCAGAATGCTGGCAGATCAACTCTAAAACCTTATCTGGAGGATATTTCTGCACCAACTCACGGTTGGCTATCAGGAAAGAGGCAAACTGATCCTTGTCGTCGATACCAGCAAGCCTTTTGATTTCAGTCAATAAGTTGTAATATGGAACAAGGAAAGCAGCCTCTTCTACTTCAAGTAATTTAGGAATAAGATCAAATGTATCAGCCCATTCCAAAAGAGTACTTGGGGAGTGGTCAAACCCAAGATTGAACTTGATATCTTCAAATTGGCTTTCAGGACTCATAAAATATTCCTGTTCACACAAGACCCCCAACATCACATCACCATCAAATTATACTACTTCGGTCAAATCTTTCTTTGAAATAAATGAAAATTATTAATTACAAATTTTACTACTTGATTACACTTGTAATTTCATAGTTCAAATTGTTCAATCCTAAGATTAAAGGGTTGGGCAGTACATTAGCAACCAAATATGATTCAATTATCTCATAATTTTAGGGATATTTGATTCAATAATGAAATTAGGCTCATAATTTTGGTTATGATGTTTCATAATCTTAGAATTTAGAAGCAATAGTTGAGATTTTCGAACCCTACACTAAGAATTAAATTAGATTAAATCAAAGATAAACCCTAGATTGTGAAATTGGTATGATGATACAAAAAAACAAACAACAACTTACGCCAGTATTTTCTTCCATGGGGGATACAAGTATTAGAAGGCGCTGAACCGAGAACGTGAACTGCGATTCAATGGATAACGTTGAGTGCGCTCCAATGGATTACTGAGAGAGAGGTAGGGTTTGTCAAAAAAAAAAAAACATTTATAAATGGATTAGATCAGTCGTATAAATAAATGGGGCGGGTCTTATAAAGATTTAAAATAAACCTTTTAGAGAATTATCGGTATTAATTTGATCATTTTGGTCCAATTCAACTTATGATCAAATTTAACTAGTGAGAGTTAAATTTCTGAATATTTAGAATGATTTGTCTCTGCTTTCATACATAAAAATACAAAGCTCTGCATTCTTATTCTTTATGTGCTATGGTCAATTTCTCAGTCATTAGCTTGTAACTAATGTCACTTTAGACAAAGTATTGATTAAGCTTGTTGGTTTTCTGACATAGTACCATATGGTTATTTGTAATTGGATGTCCTACTTTTGTTTTATTAAATTAAAAGTTTACAAAACTTTGCTCAATCAATTCGTCAATCAGCTGCGCTATTTTGATCTGGTAGTGAATTTAATCCCTACCCTTTTTCTATTTTTCTCTGTTAATCAATAGGGTTCTTTCGTTTTCTTGTTGTTTGATTGATTTTGATGCTTTTTTTCTTTGTTGGGTTTTAATCAGAATTGCTAAGATTCCTGTTTGTTTTTGTTTTTGTATTTGATGTTAATTGGTTAATCAGCTTCTTTAATCAGTTGAAATTCGAGCATCATCAATTAGTTTGATTTTATTGGGAATAAAGATTGACTCTTTGTAATTTTTGTTGTTATTTTATTGGAAGATTGATTAAATTGATTGTTTTGTTAGTGATTACTGATAGATTGTTTAATTGATGATGTTTGGTATCTGGAAATTGAAGTGATTCTATTGATGAAAATGGGTTGATTTTTATTTTATTTTTTTTGGTTGTTTTGGAATGATTTTACATTTGCTTACTTAAGTGGGATTGTTGGATAAAGTGTATAAGTGTGTAATTTGATTGTTAAGGATTGGTTTGGACCAATTGGTGGGATAAAATGTTAAAATCTGATGAAATGTACTTGTTTGTGGTATATGGTGGTTGTGTTAATTGGCAGCTGAGCGCCAAAGATGGCCCTGAGGATTGACATTCTGGCCACCACCCCAACTCGGACAATCTCCACTGTAACGTCTACATTATGGGAGGATCTAGCCAACAGTGCTAGCAAGGACTGCTCTAGAGAGATGATTAACAGGAAGAAGATCAGTGTGCTGAAAAGATGATCAGAGGGGCTTTTGTGGAACTTTACAGGGGTCTTGGTCTTATAAAAACTTAGTGGTATATATATATGAACTTATGAAGTTTGTTTTTATTTCTTGCTTCATTGCCTAATTTCCATATAGCCGGTGCATATTGCAATGCTATCCAAATGCTAATTGTGGTCTACCATTTGACAGTTTGCTGAATTTGGTAGCATTCACGAAGATTCTGAAGAAGTTCGACAAGGTATACCACTGATTATTGTCCTAATTTTCTTAAGTGGTCTCTTTCTTTTATACTAATTGACCAGATTTTATTAAGCGATCTTTCTTAGGTGGTTTTCTCTCTCTCCTAAACTAATGGCCTTGATTTTCTTAAGTGATTTCTCTCTCTCTCTCTCTCTCACACACACACACACACATACAAGCTAATTGCCTTAAATTTTTTTGTATCAAGTTTAAATTTATCTAGATCATAATATCCATATTTTCTTTTTATTATTTCTTATTAAGAACAAAGTAGCTAGGGCAATATGAGTCTCACATGGCGTTCATTCTTCCTGGATTGTTCCGAGTGGTCAATGGAATTAATGTCTTTAATCCCAAATTCTCCGTAGTCTCACCCACTTGAGTTAAGATACATGCTGTTGCATTTCAGTATTTGTTTGCCATAGAAAGAATAGTTTTTCTTGCATTGCTTATTATCGAGTCATTCAGAGCTACATCAGAAGTGTAGCTTTATTTATTATCCCTCTTCTTGCTTAATTTTCTGTAGTACCTTTATGTTTTGCACTCATTTAATGACTCTTTACTGGTGATTACCTGCAGCCGCAAGTGCTCGATGCATTGAGAGGCGGACCTGTGCAACTCCTACTGTCATTGTCATTGGTGGTGGTATCTCTGGAGTTGCTGCTGCTTGCTTTCTCACAAATGCGTCATTCAAGGTAACTTATTCTGTGCTTATTCTGTCATGTGTTTATTCTGGTGTCCTCCCTCAATTCTTTTGCTTACGGAGTTTCCTGATATTTTTTTCAGGTGATTCTGTTGGAATCACGCGATAGATTTCATGGCCGAATTCATACTGATTACTCTTTTTGCTGTCCTGTTGATTTGGGGGCTTCATGATTAGCTCCTTTTCTCCTTCACTCTTCAGAGTCTAACCTATTGTGCACTGCCCATAGCATAAGCATATGGAGTATAATCATTGCTATGGATTATGGTTTTTGTTGTGTTTAATATAACTTAGGCATATGAAGCATAAATTCTTTTTATTTATTTTTTCTTGATTTATGTTAGCACAATTTTAGAATTCATATATTTGAGCAAACTTCATCTGTTAGATTGGAATTATGCAATGTGAAAGTGTGATCATGATCTTGTATGTTACTGTGGATAAAAATGCTTTTACTAAGCTATTATAAAATGTGATTATGTGAATTGACATATGAGCACAGTGCTACTAGGTGATAATGACCTTCATCTTGTTTGATACTTGAATTTATAGCTAAGAATGTTATTCCGTTGCTCAATGTGCTTGAGATTTTGTTACTTCAAATGGCAGGTACAATTGTTAATTTTTTCCTCTTTTTTTCCGTCATTTCCTAATAATTACCTCTTATTTATCTGGATTTTCTTCATTTTCCATCTCTCATTTTCTATCCTATTTCTTTCATCCGAGTTTTTTAAAGACTTTGATTTAAGGTTCGATCTTAACTTTTTGATATCGATATTGTTTGATTGATCATCTTTGTTTCAATTTTATGCTGCTGATTCCTGTCAAAAATTAATGTTCTAACATCAAATTAATTTCAACTGATAATTTTTGGACACGGTATAGTTATGTGTTCTTATCCAAACAAGGCTTTTGGTACAGATATTTGTGTTGTTATTAGTTTACAGTTGAGTTATTTATAACAATTAAATTAAAAATAAAAGTTGGAACACAATTTTTTGTATGTGGCTGGCCACACCATAACGGGCTCAAATCTTTCAGGCCCAAAAAAATAACGGAGCTTGAGTAAAAAAATAACGGGCCCAATACATTCCCCGTTATTTTTTATGTAACCGTTTAATTTGAAATTCCAGGTTTTTGTTCTTCCCACTTCCCCAAACCGCCATTATTAGAAGAGTAGTCTAATCAACCGCCATAATTACAGTTTTTCCCCTAGTTTCTCTTTCTTTTTCATTTTCTATCGTATTTTTACAATTTCTCTCTCTAATTCTTCGTTTTTTCTCTCTAAATTCTTCGTTTTTTCTCTCTAAATTATTCAGAATGGTTAAGTTGAAAGTCATCAATTCTAAAGGAAGGAAAGGATCGTCTACATGTAAACAGATTAATGAAACAGGTAAATTTTAAATTTTAATTTCTAGTTTTTCACCAATTTTTGTCATTGTTTTTCTTTTTTATTGTTCTGATTGTTGTTTTTCGAGTGTTTTGATGTAAATTATATGTATTTTGTTTAATTTTTACATCATTGTTGTTTTTGATACTGTTTAAAATTAGATTTTAGTGTTTAATCTAACGTTTGATTCGAATTTCATCATTTTTTGTGTTTATTTTTAATTATTGTTTTTTAGGGTTACTGGTTTGATGTTAGGGATTTTATTGTTTATGTTTTTAATTTTTAGGGTTACTGGTTGTAAATGATTAAGTTTGTTCGATTTTGTCGAATTTAGTGATACTTGTTTCTAGTTTGATTAGGGATATTATTTAGGTTTGTATTTGTTTATGATTACCTTTTACTGTTACTTGTATGTATTTATTGTTAGGGTTACTTGTAATTTTTTTCTATTTTTTCCATTTTTTTGAATTTAGGGTTACTTGTTTGATTAGTGATTTTATTTAGGTTGCTATTTGTTTATGATTACCTTTACTGTTACTTGAATGTATATCATTTTTACTAGTAATCTATTATTTCAATTGCTTAATTTTGTTTGTTGATTTGTACGGTTGTAACTTGTAATTATATCGTATTACTGGTATTCTGTTCTTTAAATTTCTTAATTGTTTTTGTTGAGTTTAATTGCTTTTTTATGTTTGTGTATCATATTTACTGTTTTTTTTTATTTTAAAATTGAATTTTATTTGTTGAGTACTTAATTTTGTTAAGAGTTTATTGATGTTTAAGTGTTACCTGTATGTGTATTTTGGCTAGTTTATTGGTGTTTTAATTTTGTTTATTTTTAATATGATATAGAGCCAGAGCAAGAATTGAATGCTGAGAATTTGAGTGCTGATAATGTTGGATCTAAGCAAGAATTGAATACTGGTGCAAAGGATGTTAATGTAGATGATGTAAATGCTGAGGCAAATGCAGAGGGTCTTGTAGTTGATGTAAATGCTGAGGTGAATGCAGAGGAGGATTTTAAAGCTGATATGAAACCAAAAGGTATTAGACCACGTAAAGGTCGTAGAGTTGCTGGAATTTCTAGTCAAGTTGTTAAAGATGCTAAAGTTGAAGAGGGGTAAGTAATATTACTGAATTTATGTAATTATTGTTCTTTTGTATATGTTATTTGTTATGTAAATTACTTGTTTGATATAAGTGATATAATTATATTTATATTGGTTACATGTAATTGATGAAGGGGTTACTTGTAAGCAATAAGTGGTTTACTTGTTAGTGTTAAGGGGGTTACTTGTAAGGGATATAGTGGCTACTTGTTATACAGGGGTAATTATATTTGTTGATGATTATATTTATATTGGTTACATGTAATTGATGAAGGGGTTACTTGTAAGCAATAAGGGGTTTACTTGTTAGTGTTAAGGGGGTTACTTGTAAGGGATATAGTGGTTACTTGTTAGTGTAGGGATATAGTGGTTACTTGTTGAATGGCTGCTTGTTTGATGATTATGGGTTACTTTAAGAGATTTTTATATGGGTGTTACTTATTTGGTTATTATTGATTACTGGTTTTTATATGATAGTTACTTATTTATGGGTTATTATATGAGTGTTACTTGTTTGATTATTATTGATTACTG